TTGACTGCTAACCAGAAGGCTGGTGGTTCAAACCCACTAGCCACTCCTTGGAAGGAGGGTTGGGCAATCTACTTCTGTAGTGATACTGCCTCGGAAACCCAAAGAGGGGTCACCATGAGTCGGGGCCAACTCGAGGGCACATGAAAACAACAACTACTGCAATGTAAAAGGCATTTGACTGCTAACCAGAAGGTTGGCGATTCAAACTCGCCAGCCACTCTGTGGAAGGAATATGGAGCAATCTACTTGCGTAAAAATTTACCACCTTGAAAACCCAATGAGGGTTGCTATGAGTTGGAAGTGACTCAAGGCAGTGTGGGTTTTTCTTTGTTTGTTTGTTTGTTGTTGTTGTTGGTCAGCAGTCAAGTGCCTTAGGTACTTGGTTAGCAAGGAGAAATTCATAATCTAATCAAAGATTATCAAGTTACAAAGCCTGATAATCTGGCAGCTAGTCAAAGATTATGAGGCATACAAAAAGCCAAGAAAACAACTCATAATGAGAATAATCAAAAGAAACCCAGGACTGACACAGATGCTGATATTATAAGGGAAAGACACTAAAACTGTTACTATACTATATTCCATGTAAGCAAAATATTAGAGACTTTAAAAAGATCCAAATCAAACTTCTAGAGACTAGACAATGTCTGAGATGAAAAATACACTGGGTGAAATTAATGGCAGATTACATACCTCAGAAGAAAAGATTAGTGAATTTGAAGACATAACAAATAGAAACTATTAAAATAAAACACAATAAAAGAAATCCTTTGACAACTTCAATCAAGAAATCAAGCAACATATTGCATTGGGAAAATCTGCTGCAAAAGACCTCTTCAAAGTGTTAAAAAGCAAGGATGTCATTTTGAGGACTAATGTGCACCTGATCCAAATATTTTCAGTTACCTCATAAGCATATAAAAGCTGACCAAAGAATAAGGAAGACCAAACAAGAACTGATGCATCTGAATTATGGTGTTGGCAAAGAATATTGAATATACTGTGGACTACCAGAAGAACAATCTGTCTCGGAGGAAGTACAGCCAAAATGCTCCTTAGAAGCAAGGATGGAGGATGGTGAGAATTCATCTTTTTTTGAAAAAAGCTTCATGATCAGACTATTATATTTAAGCAATCAACAGCATGGGAAAAAAAAAAAAAAAAAAAAAACTACATTAAAACCCTTGGTTGGAATGCTTTATACTTTCCACAGAGCAGAAACTAAAATAACCTGATATACAGTTAGTCACAAATATAGTCCTTGAGTTTTTTTGCCCATACACATGAGTATTTGTCTAAAACATATTTTCTTTGTAGCAGCTAGGCCCTGCTACCACTGTGCTTGGCTGCATTCACAAATCTGTTGTAACCTATAGCTTCCCTATCACTTCTCTGGCTGTCCTCTCCTGCTGAGCTTTGTTTCCTGGCAATCATTAAAACCTTCTGCCAAAGCCATAGCTAGTACTGCTGCTTGAACCACCACAGCCACCTTGCTTTCATGGTTTGGCAAAGTATTGACCTCCACCACCATAAGGGCCAGAGTTTCTGCCTCCGAAGTTTCCTCCCTTCATGGGTCCAAAATTTAAAGATTGGTCATTGTAACTGCCAAAATCATTATAGCTCCTGCCACCTCCAAAATTGTTTCCGTCATTAGCAACTCCATTATAACCATCTCCACTGCCTCCATATCCACCACCACTACCATGGCTGCCACCAAAGCTATCTCTCCCACTGAAGTTTCGCAGATCACTTCAACCTCTTTGGCTGGAAGAGACACTGGCCATCTCTTGCTTTGAAAGAGCTTTCCTCACTTCGCAGTTGTGGCCGTTCACAGTATGGTATTTCTGAATGACAATTTTATCTACAGAGTCGTGGTCATCAAAAGTAATAAAAGCAAAGCCCCTCTTCTTGCCACTGCCTCAGTCAGTCATGATTTCAATCACTTCAATTTTCCCGTATTGTTCAAAATAATCTGTTAGGTGATGTTCTTCAGTGTCTTCTTTATTTTATTTTTATTTGGGTGAAAGTTCACATAGTAAATTTACTTTCCATACAGCAGTTCACATACACTTTGTTTGCTGAAATTGACTATAATTTTCCACAATGCAACAGCTCCCCTCTCACTTCCTCCCCATAGTTACTTCTTCCTTGTGTCCTTTCCTCCATGCACTCCTGCCCCCCAAGCTCTCTCCCTGTGCATACACAGCCCTTTTATTCTCCCATTATTGTTCTCTTCAAGGACTGTATCTGCCTTATATGCCTGTCTTTTGTTTGGCTGGAAGCTACAGGAGTGGGTTCAGTTCCACACATGAAGAGCAGTTAGGGGCCATAGTTTCAGTGGTTCCATCAGGCTCTATCATACTAGCAAACCTGGTCCCCCACCCTTCTTTTTTTTCCCCCAAATGATTGTGAGTTTTGTTCCACATTGTTCTCCCTCTCTATCCAGGATCTTCTACATAGATCCCCCTCCGAGTGGTTGACACTGGTAGCTGGGCACCATCTAGTTCTTCTGGTCTCATAGTCATATCGGCTGAGGATCACATGGTATACCAGTCACTTAGACTAATTGTCTCCATGCATCTTTGGTTTTCTTCATTGGTCTTTGCTCTGGACAAGGAGAGACCCATCAATGCATCTAGATGGCTGCTTTTAAGCTTTTAAGATCCCAGTCACTACTCACCAAAGTAGGATGTAGAACAATGTTTTGTGTGGTATGTTATGCCAATTGAGCTTGATGTCCCCTGCAACTATGGTCCCAAGCCCACAGGTCAAACTACTCACTCCCTCCGTGCCCAAGAAGTGACTACAACCTTGCCCCTTCAGTGTCTTCTTTAATACCACCAACAAATATCTTTTTCACAGTTAAGTGGGCACCTGGTCTTTGAGAGTCTTCTTGTGAGACAGCTCTTTGGTCCCACAAATCTTCCATCAACCTTGTGTGGCCTTGCGTTCATGGCTGCATCCACCTCCTCCATAGTACAGAAAGTGACAAATCCAAAGCCTCTGGAGCACTTGGCTTTTGGGTCTCTCATTACCACACAGTCTGTGGGTGTTCCCCATTGCTCAAAATGGCTTCTCAGACTCTCATCTGTTGTTTCAAAGCTCAACCCCCCAATGAAGAGTTTCCGCAGCTGTCCAGGTTCTTCAGGAGACTCTGACTTAGACATGATGGCAGTGGGTAGAAAAAAAAAGGCTTTAACGCTGCTTCCTCTGCGGAGTCTACAGGCAGAAAGGAGTAAGCTACCCAATATATCTCAAGACATCATCTCATGTACTTTAGATGTATTAACAAGAGGTACTAGTCCCTGGTGAAGGACATGATGCTTGGTAAAGTGGAGGGTCAGTGAAAAAGAGGGAAACTCTCCATGAGATAGATTTGACATGATGGCTGCAACAATGGCTCAGTAATAACAGAGATTGTGAGGATGGCATAGGTCCCAGAGTGTTTCCTTCTGTAATTCACAAAGTAGCCATGAGTCAGAGCTAACACAAAGGCAACCAACAATAATAACATCTGTGACACATGATGAACGACAAGAAATGAACATGGTTTGGGCTATTCAGTTGGAACAGTACTGCCTTAATCTTGAGCGAGTGATATGCTTTCTATACTTGATATATTTTTATTTGCCCCAGAGTCAAGGAAAGCTAAACCTACAACTAAGGATTAAGTAAACCTACATTAAAAGAAGATAAACAGATCACTTACCACAACAGGTTTCCTATTTTATACCCTGTTTTTCATACACTTTCATATTCCAGTTACTCAAATCTGGTTTTTCTGGCCTATTCTCATCCTATCCTCATCATGACTGTCTTGTTCCCATAGCCCTTTCAAGGATCGCATATTGGGGGGGGGGGTGCCGATCACTGCCCTCAAGTAGATTCTGACTCATAGTGACACCCTTTGGGTTTCTGAGGTGATAAATCTTTAAGGAAGTAGATTGCCCCGTCTTCTTTCTACAGAGTGTCTGGTAGGTTTGAACCACCAACCTTCTGGTTAGTGGTCAGACGCCTTAAGCACTATGCCACCAGAGCTCCTTACTACCCACATTTCATTCCCCCTTTACCTCTGATCCCAAATGCCTGCTGCACATTTGCCTAAAGCTTCATTGATTAGATCAGCAATTTTTCACACAATTCTTTGTTAAAATAAATATTTCATTGGATCCCCATATATAAAAGTAGAGCCCCTCTGGTTAAATGGGGCGGTGGGCATAGAACCCTGTTGTCATCTTCTTCTCATTTTTACATGCGGTATGATTAAATCTATCATCTTCAAAAAGCTCTGAAACTTCATAGAGCACACTAAATAGGCAATTGGCCTGTCTCCTGTTTGAGTCCTATCATTGGACAAATATCGCCAGGTGTCCATCTGAAGGTATTGCTTTATGTTATTATGATCATCCACTTTTATCTTTTAAATTGGCAAGGTATACATTTAATTTTCTTTTTGTTTCATAACGGAGAATCACTCAACATTTTTTTCTACCAAGAGTAGAAATAAGTGGATATTCTTTAGAAGCATCAGGTGCATAAGTTCTAAGGTTAGCTGTGTGGGTTTAAATGCCAGCTTTACCATTTATTTACTCATTGGCATGCAGTTACTTAAGCTTATTAAGACTATTTTTTATCCATAAAATTAGAATGATAATAAGCTTGCCTGATAGTTAATGTATGGATTCAGTGGTATATTCAGCTTATTTACAAACTGACACAAAAGTAAACACTCAATAATAAATGTCAGCTATTACTACTTAGCATTCTGATACATATTCTAAAATTATAATATATATTCTATATTTTTAAATATGTTTTTGCTTACTTAGGTACAAATGATGAAAGAGAAATGATGTTTAAGCACACTGCCCTCTTCCACCTTCTGGTAACAATCAGAGATATCCTTTTAACGTGTAACTTGGACACAGCGTTGGGTAAGTTGGAAAATTTGTGTTTCCGAATTTTTTTCCCTATTGAAATTTTCATCTAAAATAAGCCTTATTTTTCTGAGAAGCATTCATCTTACAAGAAATTATTACCTTTTACTGCACTAAATATTATATACATTTTGACATAATTATAAGGGAATATATATTTTATTCTGCTTATATTCATAAAGATAAATTATCTTTAACAACTATCATTACCTAGAAAAATAGACTTTATCTCTAATCTAGGCCTAAATCAGAGAGTCATAATGACCTGAAGCAGATTTGATTGTGTAATTTATTATACACTACTTTTATACTTTTATTTATTTATTCATTTTATTTGTTTAGTTGTTGTTATTGTAAGTATATATATATAACACAGCAGTTGTCAGTTCAACATTTTTCCTGTGTTCAGTTCAGTGGTATTAATTACATTCATCCTGTGTAACCATCACGTATAACTGTTGCCAAGTTTCTCGCTGCTCCCTAAACAGTGACTTTCCCTTTCTCCATCCCTGCCCCCTCTGATACCCACTGATAAACTTTGGTTTCTATTCATTATGCACTACTTTTAAATGTAAGATCTGACATTTTACCACAGACATTTTGAGGGCTTATTGAATGTTTGTTCTCAAAAACTAGGTAGCAAGCCATATGAATTACATAACTGACCTGGATCATTTTTAGTGGTGAGCATTCTCATGCCTCTAAACCAAACTCCAAACTCATTGCCATCAAGCCAGTTTTGACTCATTGTGCCCATATAGGACACCATAGAACTGTCCCATAGGATATCCAGGGCTGTGATCTTTATAGAAGCAGACTGCCACAGCTTTCTCTTATGGAGTGTCTGGAGAGTTCGAACCACCTACTTTTCAGTTAGCAAGCCAAGCATTTAACCTAACTGCACTGCACCACCAGAGTTCCCCTCACTTCTCTACATCTCTTGAAATCAAGGAGCAAGTTAGGTTGTCTTCCTTTCCTTCTGTCTCTACAGTGGTAGGGGAAGAAAGGTCTGTAGGGGTCTAGCTTCTTGCCCTGCTCTCTCCCAGGTGTCTGTATTTTGTCCTAGCTTCCAGTGTCCTGTGACACTCCCTCCCCACCACCACCAGAAAGCAAGGTTATACGGTTCAAAGCATAGAGTATAGAGCTTCCCTCCTGGCTTTAGTCTGGTAATAAATTCAGTATAGAGTAGTGGTGAATTTACTTATGGTGAATCCATTACGGACTAAAGTACAGATCCTGGGATTTAGGAGGAACGCAGTACCATTCAGTATGCTTGGTTGTTGTGTTGCCATTGAGTTGATTCTGACTCACAGCAGCCCTGTAAGACAGAGTAGAACTGCCCCATAGGATTTCCAAGGTTGTAATCTTTACTGGAGTAGATGGATAGGTTTTTCTCCTGCAGAGCCACTGGTGGGTTCAAACCGCTGACCTTTCAGTTAGTAGCTGAGCTGTTAACAGGGCTTCTCAAGCCATAAACTCAAAAAAAAAAAAAAAAACCTCATTGCTATCAAGTTGATTCGACTCAAAGAAACCCCTCCTTGGGTTTCTGAGGCAGTATCTCTACAGAAGTAGATTGACCAGTCTTCCTTTTAAGGAGTGGCAGGTGGGTTTGAACCACCAGCCTTCTGGTTAGTAGTCAAATGCTTTAGGCACTATGCTACTAGAGCTCCCCAGTAATCTGTGTTGTTGTTATGTGCCGTTGAGTCATACCTGACTCATAGTGACCCCTCCTTGGGTTTCCGAGGCAGTATCACTACGGAAGTAGGATTGCCCAACCTTCCTTCCGAGGAATGGCTGGTGGGTTTGAACCACCAGCCGTCTGGTTAGCAGGCAAGTGTCTTAGCCACTATGCTACCAGAGCTCCAACAATAAAGAA